TTTACGCCCAGCAACCTTTGCGAACGGCGTGGTAAAAATAAAGAATAGATAAAAAACCTGATTATAGCAGTAAAAAATTAATAAGAAAAGTTACCTTAGCCTTTCCATTTTCGGGGGAGGCTAGGATGCTACTAAACTAATATTATATGTAGATATTTTAGGTCCTTTGGAGCGACATAATCTAGTACGGTTCATGTTCATTTAATAAATATAAAAAGTTTAAACGAACAAACGCAAGTTAATAATGCAAACAGAATAACAATAACAGTAATATTTCTAAGCGGTAGGAAGCGCCCTTTGTCATAAAAGTGGCGTCAGGAACGAGTGACAACAGAACGCTTAAAAATGAATAGAGGTCTAACAAAATGGACCGTTAAATTACTGGCGACAGATAAAAATGAATAGAAAGTTTAAAACGATAAAGAAAGATTGAACAGACGATACAAATGCACCTTCGCACACAGAACAGGTAGAGCAAACACATTTTTGATGCATAAAGCAAGCGGTCCTTTGAATAAATACGGGCAAAGGCAAATAAAATTAACTTTAGTATTTGAAGTGAATGTGTAGTAACGATGCAGTAATACGCAAACGAAATATATCATAAACAATAAAAAAAGATTTATTCGTACAAAATTGGTCAATATGACATTTTTTAATTAAGAACCACCAAATTAAAATCACGATATTTTTCTGGTGTTTAAAGTGTTCTAAAGTTTCACGGGATGTGAAAATTGAATTAAAGACATTTAACTGTGTTTAACGCGAAATAAATTCATATAAAATTGTATATAACTGCGACCCGACATTCAAACCGTCACGACTGTCCACCTTAAAAAAATCTTAACTATCGATTCCTTAGATAAAAAAGTAACTTCTATATAATTACGCTTTTTAAACGGTTAAGCTTCTTTTATTAGGTATAACTTATTATCAAGCATTAATTGTCTGTAATATACGCGAGTAGTAAGAATTTAAGTAAAACAAATTTAAAGGCTAAAAACAAGAAATATATTGACTAACGTTTTTATATTTTATTCTAAGTACGGGACGGCACGTCAAAATCACAACGTACTCTCCAGAGCACGGCTACTGCAAAGCGGCCCGTAGTTAAAATAAATTAAAAACAAAGAAAACAGTTTCGACTTTTAATCCGTTAAAAGTGTTTCATTTAAATGAATAATGCTTATAATGTGTATTATAACAGTTACAGTGCAGATAGAACAAGCATAATAAGCTCTGCCCACGCGTCGATGAATCATGCGCCGTTCGTTGCGGCAATACAACACGAACAGCAAAAACATTACCTACTTTTGAATAAGATCCCTTTCTCTTTCTACACCTTTGAGAGCTGCACGTTGGTGCCATTCATTACGTCAATAACACGAATCAAACAAGATTATGTTACTTACCATGACATAAACGATACAACTAATATGCAAGTGGCAAAAGATTAACTCTAACGCGACTCGTGTTTATGTGAAGAAAAAGCAAGTACTTTTTTATAATAATAGAGGAGGACAGACATGGCATAGGGTCCACTTGATTTTTTAAAAACATGTTAGACCTGGTAGGGACCCACGACCCGTTGATCTTTAGCCATACAATGCTACCATTAAACCAACGAGACCACAATACGTGTACCAAACGTTGCAGATGTTAAAAATAAAGTCACGAAACACTGATAATGTTCTTGTTTATTCGCGAACAAGCCAAGTGACACATAAACGCTTAAAAAGCTGTAAATTGTGAATGAGAAATAAAAGCGGTCTTTCACCTGAGATCTTCATTTTTAAAGATTTTCATTTAACATTCATTTGTTTCGTTAACGAAGAGAATTTTTACAAACAGAGTTTTTTACCGTTGTGTATGGTAAAAGATAAAATATAATCAAGTGCGTTTTGTACAAATATTGATGAAGTAAATATAATTAACTAGCTGAGTCAGTGACTTCGTCCGCGTTGAATAGTTATTTTGGGCCTCAAAAGTAGTTTTTGCAAACCTCCTTCCTCTTCATCTCTATGCATTGACCACGATGTCGGTCGCGTCCGGTCGTTCTTGTTAGTTAATCTTAAAAGATAGACATACGAGTATCGTGGTAATTTTTTAAAACATTTAAAGACGAATCATCTTTCACACATATTTTTTAGGTATCTTGAATCGCTTTCGCAGCGTACCTAACGGAAACCAACAAGATAAATAATTTTCCCCACATTTCCCCTCAGTTTCTTGTCTCCTATTAATCACAGCGCATTTTATAGTCTATATGCATTCCTCGGTAATTTTAAATTCAAACCAGTGGTTCCTGAGATAAACGCATTCAAACAAACAAACTCTTCAGCTATATATATTAGTATAGATATGAGACGCTAGTGTCGCACATTGTAATCATTGAAGTCGAAGCGTGACAAAGTTGGACGAGTGACCATGAAGTGCGTAGAGCGACCGGCGAGATACGTAAAAACAGTGACTCACGAACAGAGAGAGTACATAATCGTACCCCTGCGACAGAAAGGGATACACGAGCCAAGGAAACCGGTTCAAGATTTCGAGTTTCAATCCGATATGCTCCTGTCTGTGTCGAGTCAACTTTGCTTGAGTTGATCTTACACTGCCGTACACCGCTCAAAAGCTCCGAGATTGATCAGCACTTTTTATTTCTTCACTTCTTCAGCTTTACAAAGGGACATTTTCACGGTTCACTCGCGATTATCACCAAATCAAGTCGGTTTCCTAGATCGCTTTTTTATCGGTGCAATTGAAAATGTCCATGAGCGGGCATTGTTTCACATTAGCTAAATAATATCTTATCAGCCAAAGATTACCTACTGAACGCTTTCTTTATCGAGACGTGGTCTAAAGCGATGATGTCATGTCGTTCAGTCTTATCTCGTCGTTGATAAAACGCAAACTAAGAATGTTCTATACGTATGTTTGAATAAGAAACGCCTGTTACTGTCAAAAAATATTTTTATAGCAATTAGCGAATGGACAAATCGTTGTGCAATATTTAGTTTGATAAACATGCGTGCGATACCGTGTTTGCGTGTTTAGATTATCAACCTCAGCGCTAAGAAAGTCTTGTTAGATTACAGGAATTTTCCGATTGGATGGAAACGATCGCACCGCGGTGAATCATTTCTGTTTTTTATCAATAACAGGCAGAGAAAATCTTGTTGGTTTGTCATAAAATTAAATGATCATGTTTTATTTGCAATGTTAATTCGTGAATAAAAATAGGAGAACCGGCTTTTGTTCAATCTGGGTGGCGATCTTTATAACTTACTGTTCGTATCAGTCAATTTGATGTTGATAAAAAATAATAGTCTTTTATATGCATCATGAATGATTCCTCTCTTAGGCTGTTCTTTAATCTTTTAGATAGGACATTTGCGGTTTTGAATGAGACATATTTTAGTTTACTACCTTATCAGTCATGGTCAAGGGAGGACAATTAGTCACCATGGCTACTGCGAAGCATCGGAAACGTCGGGTCGTAGTGAACACAGGTCATAACTAAAATATGTTGCGTTCAAACTGCAATTTAAAGTGTTCTATTTGCAAACTACTAGTTATTTTTTTTTATATAAAATTTGTATCGCGTAAGCAACTTAAATGATTACACTGATGACTTATTAGTCTCAATATTAGTATCACAAATCTCAAAAGGTAAATAAATATAAAAACATCAAACAGAAATATATAAAAGTAGGACAGGATTATTTTATTGTGGGCCAACATTCAACAATCGTTAAAGCTACTGTTACACCGATGCCAGCTAACCGGTTAGACCACTTTGCCGAAACGGCGCCAATCATAGCCAGCGCCTAACACAAAATATACACTGATTATTACATTAATCTTTGTACTTTCACTAGAGTTATACAAATAAAAAGCTTTGTAACCATTGTATGCCTCTTTGATTTAGTGATTAGCACGATTGAAACGCGTTTTGAACCCTAGGTCGAGCTAATTCGAAGTTTAATCGTTATAAGTACCGGCCTTTTTCGTTCGCCAATGCTGGTTATCATCAGGACTTAAAAATTCAGATGATATAAAAACGGAGGCGACAACTAACACAACATACGTATAATAATTTTAACATGACAGAGACATATTAAAACGCGAAGCTACTTAATGATTCACTGAAGTATCTTGAATTGATGTTAAAGAAGAAAATTTATGAGCATTGATGCGTCGAGGTTCGTGCCAAAAGATTTAAGCTTCCTTACAATAATACGAATTTGTTGTCACATATCCAAAAAGCAATTGAAGTCATAATTTATTGTGGGCTTTTAATATCAGTCATTAAAATCCTTTTTTAATCTCTTTATTATTAAAAAAAAACTCTACTACCTTTACATCTACAGATAATATTGTGAACGCCATGTATTTGTAGTTTCATTTTAATATACATTTTTCAGTAACTCGTTTAATTCTAATATAATTTATCTGTTATTATTATTTGTGTTTAAACCTTAATTTTATTTGAGTAGTTAGTTCAAACGAAGTGGAACTCTTAGCAGACTTGTTTTTGAACGGGTTTTAATAATTCAAATAAATAAGACACTAGTTGACCTAAACAAAAGTCATGTATGAAGTTTTGCGCCTTTTGTATTTTATGATACCCGTGAATAATATTGTACATAATTGATGTATCATTAATTGTGAACTGTATCAAGCGTGAAATGATATTGATTATTCAACCATTGGCAGAGCAATGAGTCTTTTTATATGCATGCCCAAATTATCGCATGCGCCTGTGCCAACACGAGTGTGATTGATGTGTGATCGCTCATCTGGATAAACGATCGGCTACAACCCCAAGCCGATGTATGCAAATTTTTAAAAGGCAACTTCCCTGCCTGAAATGGAGAATTAGCAGCATCAGCCACCGAATTATCAAGTGGCGTGCTTAAAATTGAGCTGAATTTAGAAGTGGGTAATTGCCGTCGAAATTTAATGCTCGAGGGTGCACCTGCAGGCGCCGCGATTCATTCATGAGAGCGAAACGCTTAGAGGTCGAGAACAATCCACGACGGATAATAACAGTTGGCATTTCTTGGAAACAGTACGGCGTGGAGGCTTCAGCGGAGGCGATCGCTCCGTCTCGCTCGCTCAGCTGGTGCCCGAGCGAGAGGGAGTGGGCGGGGCGTGCGGTATTATGTCACGTCAGGTCTGATAGAGGCGTCCGAAGTTGAAGCTCGAACGCTGCACTCAATGCATCTGTTGCTTTTTCCGAGTTTTCATTAGCGTTAATTACTTTTATATTACGTGAATATGTTTAATATGGCGCTAAGAAAATTACGTAATATAAAATACTGTCTATAATTTACGCGAGTAGTACACATTTAAATAAAACACTTTAACGGTTTAAAACGCGATATATTAGTTAAACTTATTTGAAAATGATTTTAAACTTCGGCCCGACGTTTCGGATGCTTTGCAGCAGCCGTGGTCACGGGGAGACCAACGTTTAAATCACTTAATATGTTCTTAAACTAAATGTACTGAGTAGAATATGTACATTAAAAGCTCAATACTGACGATTGAAAATACTCAATTAGTCACATAAATATTGCAACGCCTTGTACAAATGTACTCTAATTATGTTCAGCATTCAATTATTTCCTATAATGAAAAATCCATAAATACAAAGGAAACTAGTCATACACGCAAATAAGAAAAGGTTCAAATTGAAATTGTAACTGAATAAGAATGTATAATTTTACTGATTGTTGTGACCAAGTAATTAATTTATTCCACTATAGATCCCTCGGCCGGTCAGGCCAGGCTAGTGGTCAAATAGTGGTAGTCAAATAGTGGTTAAAAATTAGTACCAATCAGTTAGGTAGCTCGGAAAGCACGTTTAGCCGTAGGTCACCATTTCCATATGTAATTTAGTGACGGTAGTCATTAAAATCGACTAATATCGCACTAGAGCTGTGTGCTGGGTGTTTTAACTCCTTAAGGAGATGATGTAAGAGCTGTGGGATGATAGTTTGAGACGATACCGATCTACGATGTTCCGTTAATTTAAGTTTAACAGTTATAAGAAATAAATTTTTAATTAAGCCAAAAACAAGTGCTGTATCAGAAAACGATTTGTCTCCGCTCTTAGGCGTTATAAATTGGGCTAATCAGATACTCCGAGGATCCGAGGATATTAGTGGAGTGTAATTGGCCAATCAATCGTCTCGCAAACATCTCGAAGAGCAATTAACCCCTTGCAAATGTACTTAAATTGCTACCGATTACGAAGACCGTGGTAAGAGAGAGTGAGTTCTATTTTTCTCATTTAAATCTTCTCTTAAGCGATGTAAATTTATAATTATTTGTTTTGGCGAAATAACAAATTAAATCAGATTACAATTGATCTACAATTACAAAATTCTTCTTCATAATTTCTATTATAAATTTATACACGATTACAATTCTATATAAAAAAGAGACTGGTTTGCTCGTGACCACGGCGGCTGCAAAGCATTCGAAACATTTTTTTTATTATGTTTTTAATACATCTGAACAAATGTTCGCCGGACATAAAAACCGCAGATCGATTTATATATGTCACCTCAAGCCGTAGTTAAAATATGTTTTTACATTTTATTTTTTAATTTCGCATTTTAAACCGTTAAAAAAGTTTTATGAAATATGTACTACTCGCAAAACTAGAGATAGTGTTTAAGTATAAATAAATTTGAAACTATTTAATACTAATTATTATTTGAATAAAATAAACAGTAAAATGGTAATCAGAAATAATGATAAAACTCATCTGCAATTAATTTACGTTTCCTTTCCACTGTTTTCTAATCATAAATTCATTATGATTATTTCAAGATAGGAAAACTACGATAATTGCTATCATGCTTTCCCGAATAAATGATATTAATATTGAATTATTTATTTCATACATGTAAGATTCGCTTACAAACACTTTTGGCGGGCTCGTTGGTCTAATGGTATCGTGGGTTCGATTCTCCACCAGGTCTAACACGTTTCTTGAAAAAAGCGTGAAGCTTAATCGCGTTTCGGTTTTAGTCTGTGGATTTCGAATATCCAAAACCAATCTGAGTTAGGCTTTGGACAGGGGATCTTGTTTAGATGCTTTAGGCTGGGATATATCACCTACCATCAAGGGAACCCCATGCCATGCTCATTAAAAAAAGCATAATATGTATACCAAGTTTATAAAGGTAGTTTATTTAAGTCATGCAAGATCAATTAGCTGATATTAAAGCAAGGACCCGTTTCCCAGGGACACTTACAGCGCTCAATTAAGAAGTGAAAGTCTGACACTGCGTTTAATGTAGGATACCAGTTCCAATGATTATACATTTTAAAGAGGAAATTGAATTTCAGTGCGCTTTATCAAAATTGCATTGCAAATAATATTGTCGCTGTGTTGTGGTTTTTGTTTGAATGGGCATAACGGATAAGCGTAATATATATATATAGTAATATTATAAAGGTGTTTGTTTGTTTGAGCGCGTTAATCTCATCAACTATTGGCTCGAATTGAAAAATTCATTTTGTGTTTATAGAGAATTGAGAAAGGCTTTAAGTAAAAAAACATCACGCTCAATCAACAGGACCCAAGAATCAGTGGGAAATGTGGAAAAACGTGTGCGACACTGTAAGCCTATATTTTAAGATTAACGGATGTCGTGGATAATAGCTATATTTTATAAAGATGGAGTAGGTTTGCAAAAACACATTTTGCTCCCCAAAATAAGTATTCTACGCGGGCGAAGTCCTGACAGAGAAAAGCAAATGCGTAGAGTTCTTAGATAGATTAGAACATTTTTTTGAGTACCCTGTCCGGAATAGCTATTAATTTAACATGTTTCGAGACATTGGGTGGGAATCAAACAAATTAATTACCAACCTTATAACTTTTCACATAGAACAAGTTGTTCATTTACTTACAGGCCGACCACAATATTTTACATCTATGTGTCTTTTATCAGGGGGACGTCATAAATCCTTCAGACTAGACTTTCGCGAATATGATAAGATAGCGATTAAATAATATTCAGATAGCAAATGGAAAAATATTGTGTTGTGGGCCTTGTTATTTTGGAACATACATTTGGTAAATTTTTGCATGGTATTTGCGAAGTCATAGAAGTGATCCATACAAACATTGACTACGGGAAGTTGACTCAATCTTTAAACGGTACATTTCGGTGTTCTTACCCAGGTTAGCGTAGTATCCCGCTGGGTGCATCATGAGTGTATCGATCACCGGGGTAAACTTTCCATTTGTCACTTACCTAAAACAAAATAAATATTATTTTTCACTTACATTCCAACCTTATACATTTCATCTTAATTTGTACATTTAGAACGGACAGATAAATCCCGATATCTCTATTTATATCTAAACTAACATTATAAAGCTGAAGAGTTTGCTTGTTTCAACGCGCTGATCTCAGGAAGTACTTGTTCGAATTGAAACACTCTTTTTGTATTGGTTGGACCAATTATCAAAAAACGCTTTAGGCTATAAAACATCGGATGCGACTAATAGGAGCGAAGAAGTGTAAATAAAACGAAGAAAACGGTTCGCGATACCAAAAAATGTGTATTATTATTATTTAATTTAAAAAATGTCGGCGACAGTATACGTCTATATCTACTTTACTCAAAAGGACCGTTTTTGTGATAATTAAATTTTGGTCGAAATACTTCATATGGCACAAACCTTAGCCAGGTCAGCAGCTAGTTAGAAAATAATAGTTAATCAGTCATCAAACGTAATGATTAGGTTTCTATCTGTAAAGATGGAATGGAGATATTCGATCGTCGCGCATTTCATTCGACCGATACATTGCTCGGCAGACAGCAACATAAACCAATGTGCATGGAATATTCCAAATAGGGGCCAAAATTCAAGCAGCAAGGGTTGCATATTCAGCCCGAGGCATGCGGAGGCGAGCACACGTGGCTGCCACGGCCGCCTGCCTCGGAATCTGACCGAATGCCCATCGAAGCTCGATTGTTAGCTAAATAGCTATGGCTTATTTATGAGCTGTACTGTTTGCGGAAACAATGCCAGGTGAGAGGTTGGGAAAGGAATTTTTCCCTCGCTGCGATAATCCGACTTTTCACGCCGATACTTAGCGTCGTACGATCGTTTAAGAGTGGATTATCCTCATAAATAGCAATTTGCTCGTGACAAACGATCCGAATGCTCGCTTCGGTTTGGAAATCGCGTATAATACCACTATTGTTAATTATGTACACAAGTCGCCGCGCCGCTAAGCGTACGATTTATTATCGTTTAACTAGAACAGTGATACGTCTACCGTGAGATTTCTATGACAATTTCGCAACTGAATGCTTAATAAAAAATTATACGAGATGTGACGCGGTGAGTAAAAACAGTGCTTAGAGATGGCAGAGGTATTAATACCGTCGTTGTTGTAGTTATGACTAATGAGCTAAAAAAAGAAAGTAAAGTATTTTATATATATATATATATATATGCTTATATAGGTATGCACCATACCGTACAGGAATGTAGGAAATGTTAACGAATATTCCTCGAGCAATACTTAATAGACTCCAGTCGTTTGAAAAATGATAATAGTTAACTGGTCAAATGAATCCTTTGCCTGTCAAAGATCGAAGTAAAGATACGGAGAATCTGATAAGGAATCCGGCTGCTTCTTAGATGGAAAACGCCGACAATATGCTTCTTACATAACATTATACTTTAACTGAAACTTATCACTGTATCAAATCTAAAGCGGAGCGATTAAGAAACAATGGCACGTTAATAAAAACGCCATATGTACTGGAGCAGTTAAGCATGAATGTTCCATTTCTATGAAGCTTCGATGCTTAGCATAAACAATAAAATAAAATTGTTTCACTGTATACAATTCAAGAAGATATCAAAATAAAAGAAAAATATCCGTTATAACGTACAATTGTAATCATGTTCTAACTACGAAGATAATATTTGCGTAAACAATGCTAATGCAACCGTATTTTTTTTTCCCTAACATCTATTTTAAGTTACACGTTGTAAATAGTAATGCTCACTCCCCACAGTGAAGCAAACAATGGACACAAAAAATTATTCACGAATATGTGGATACTTGTTGTACTTACTAGATAATATATATAATAATAATTATCCCGTAATTGTTATTGTTCAATAAATTATAGTTTTGGATCTTTATTTTGTAATTTAAAAGTCCTGGACAAAATATATACTTATAGACCTTTTGGCAACTAACAGTTAATTTAAACAATGAGTCACGAAGTATAGGTTTTGTCCGGCGGTGCGATGCTAGATGAAAAAGCACCAGTTGAAGTCCAACGAAAGCTATGTGTGGAATGGCAGGGGCATCCGGGCGGCAGCGATTGTTACCAGTTATCACTGAATGTTTTCCACCGGAGTATTTTGTGCCGCCACAAAAAACCACATAAAGGGCGGGCGCGGTTCGTTTGAGACACCGCCCCTGTGGGAAAATCGTCGCCAGAAAACTGCGACGCAAATAAATTATAAACTCTCTCGCATGGAACGCGATCCGACATTTACGCTTTTATTTGTACGAAACTCATAAACAGCCACGCTGACTTGCAACGTTTAACTTGCACCGCATTAACGAATAGTGATGTGCCCGCGGACTGATTACGAGTAGTCGGTACGATAAAGGATTACTCGTGTAAGTAAACAAAAAGGAAGATATGCCTGATCTGAGAGCGAAGAATCATTAGCGAAAACGGAGCGTCCCGGAATAGAACTGACAGCGGAACGATTGCACTGTCCGTGATGGATGACGGGAGTTAGACGAGTTATTGTCGGGGGCTTAATATCCACGCCTATCTGAATTAGAGAATGGAAAAATCTAGTCTATCAACATACCTCTGCAGAAAAAACCTGACTCGACTTTTTACGATATACTGCAGCTTAACTTTAGTTAAGTGAAGTGTAAGTGTAGTGAAAAAGTGGTTTATTTAATAACAATTACGTAAATGACATACAATACTTGTATATCTCGTTGATATAATGGCCGGTGGACGCTATGGACGCCGGCTCTAATCCGGCCGTGTAGTTTTTTTTAATTTGTTGGCGGGAATAAATTGTACTATCAAAAATAATGCCTAACGTCGAAGAGGATATAAAGAGTTTTAAATCATTACACAGTTAGTGGAACAGCTCTAAGCCTCGCTCGCATTGAAAACTCGCAGAAAATGCATTGGCGATAAGAAAAAATTGAGTGCGTCCGAGTGCATAAGTACCAAGTACGGTGACGGTGGCATTCCACGGGGAATACTTCGCATATCAAGACTTAAAGTAACCATTTACCGATTGCAGATAGGTACGCCATGGTCGGACAAGTAATCTCATTGGATCGCTTCGCCTGCATACTTGTTGCTACATATAATACTTAACCTAAATATGTTTTATTTAATTTACTTTTTATGACGTCTGTTCGATGTATTAATCGTGTTTCACACAGGTTTTATATAGGCGTTTAAAAGGCGGAATAGAAAAATAATACAAAAATTATTTATGATTATAAACGAAATTTATAAGGAATATTATAAGTGGGAAAGCTAATATGTAAACTAAAAAAAAATCCAATTGACACTGTAAGTGACTTTTACACGGTTTATGATATTAACGTGTAAGTTTACTAAGTACCTATTTACATGGGTATAAAGCCTGATTAGTTTGAAATAATACCTCCTAAGTACACCCTGACTCAAATACTTAGTTGTCATTAAGTAAAGAAACGTATAACGGTTGCCTACGTCGTGGAATAATAAAAAGCAGTCCTCTGGTAACGCACTGAGTACGTCCTTGTCTCTCGCAGAATTTCTGCATAGGTACGAGCAGGACGATAAGATAGATTCATTATTCAGCTTTTAATATGAGTTGCGTTTAATTTATCGCGCGACAGCCGCGCTCCTTGGAAGTAGCTGCGGGAGCAACAGAACATCAATCTTCAGGATTGAGAATTGAGGCTAAAACACTGCACGCCGCGTAAATCAAAGGGGCCGATGATAAAATCACGATTCATCGGAATCATCATAATATATTATCGTCCACTTAAATGTAATTAAAATTTTAATTTTGTCACTCAGAAAATTACACTTTCAGAAGTTATTATTAGTATTGCACTGTAGTGATAATTCTGGCAGCCACGATAAAGTGGATCTTAAAATACCCATTAATTAATAATTACAGCGTCGAAACAAGGTTTAAAAGACGTTACGAGGTAATAAATACATAATTTATACTTGAGTTATGAGTATGTTATTAGCTCGTTAACGAAATTGTCGACACTTTGTCGAGGTTGGATATAGGTAATTTGAAATTACGAAATTTCAAATTTGGGCCCATTATCAAGAGCTGTGGCAGGACAGGTATGGGCGGAGACACGTGAAAATCAATATACATACCTCCCTGTAGTCTGTCATATCAGTGATATAATTTAATACTGGTATTAACAGTGCCGTAAAATATCGCGTTATTAAGTGGTGTAAGGTTGAGGCTGTTTGCAACACGTGTAATCAACGTACAAATGAATAATGGATAAGAAACATAATTTAGTAGTGGGCGCTTAGAATTACATTGCATTAAAAAATATGCCACCAAACAACTGTAAGATTTGAAGAAAAAAAAAAACAAATCGTTAAGATGTAATGATGGTTGGTAAATCAACAAAAGCTTATTATATACCTACTTATAATGATCATTGAATTGTCAATTTGATATTTATTATTATTATCTAATCGGGCAATAATGACGGTCTTACATTTATATTAATGCGTATTACTTATTTTACCATTATAGGAAAATTAGTATTGCTTTAGTTACGGATTCAAGGCGCGTTACCAAAAAAATTTTTTCCTTTTGTTTCATTTTATTTGGAGCATATAAACGCCTAATATTTTTTAATTTATTACTCAATATTGGTTGCAGAATTCGATGGTAATGATAAATGCAACGGCGTAATAATACTTACATAGTTTATTTAAAATTAAAAAGTCCAAATTTTGTATAAAAGATTTAAAAGGGACACTTTAACGGTTTAAAATATCTATTAGTTTAACTTATTTGAAAATTATTTTTACTACGGCCCGACATTTTTGATGCTTTTCTGCAGCCGTGGTTACGGGGAGACAAGAATTAATAAGAGCCCAGAATAACTGCTGCACAAAAAACTTTGTTCTCTAAATAAATTATATATAACGAACAATATTAAGTAAAACCTATACGATAAACATATTACCGTCTTTATAATCGCAATTTTAAAATAAGTCATTAAATTCTTGTTACAGTATCAATGCCTTTTATATTAACGCAGGTAATTCTTCAACTCAATTTTACTCTTAACGTTTTATAAAAAACGAAAAACGCGGGAGACCTCAACCGACATTTGTAATATTTAACAACAATGGAAGTTAGTTAGAAATCGAGCGCGCAGAAGACAAAAGGCCGGCTAGGTAAAGAACGGACAATCAAAGCGAACTCGGAGTACAATTCAGAAATAAAACGTACAAATAACAAGTTTAATTAAATCGCCATTCGCCAAGAACGGTTACAGAGAACAATTCCAACTATAACGATAGTTTAACAAGTGAACTCAGTGGGCTTCATATCGAATGCTGCCGCTTGCACTGCGATGTGAACTCAATCGGGAACATTTTTCACTAAATTCTATCCGACTTTTCCTTTCACGAGCTACATATTAAGCTCCAGAATTTATGTATTACACTTCGGATAGCATTCGCGAATATGAATACGTAAAAAATGTCCCTTTTAAAAGTAAATGAAATACGTACTATTGTGACACGTTATTTCTAAAAGAGTTGTGTAAGCCTTTTTGTAGCGTTTTTTTCAAAAAACAGTGTAAAAGTGAAATCCCGCTTCCCCCTCGGTGGGGCGGACACATATCTGTGTCCGTTTCACTAATCTGTTTTATTGACAGGCAAGTAGTTGTACAGACTTCTGTGGCCTGTCCGATCGAAACAAAATGTTTCCACCGG